TAACGTCAAGTATTACGCTTAGAGTGACTGAATTCCGATCTTGCTCTAAAGGAGTTAACCTAACACCCACGTTCTCAGTATCATAAAGAGCTGCTACAGTGACGATACCTCAGAAGAATGCAGCACAAAAATGATGGCGAAACACATTATAACGATTTCAAGTCATCCACCATGATGTCATTCATAAAATTATGCAAAAATTTTTCATTATCTCTTTACAGATGAATCACGCACAATGTATGAACTAAATTCTATAACCCCTTATCTCTTTCATACAATCACAGTCTGACATTGATGAAACATTTCATTTATTTTTAAGTGCTAATGAGGTTCACCTTAGAATTGTTCCAGCAAAGAAAAAGACATTTTTCAAACTAGAAGAGCAAGCCTCACGCTTATTTCGACCCAATCTTTGTGAATTCGAACTTCCTATGTTAATTCACGCAAGGAAATACATATGCCGTATTCCAGATTATCGTCTCCCATGAGTATTGGGAGACTCCCGGGAAATACGGTTGTCTTCCAGCATATTCTCATTACACCTTTAGTTTCTAAGAAACAGGATGCTCTTTATTCCAGAACACGTCTCCGCCTTCCGAGAAATATAGTTGTACTGTCGTCTAGCATGTTCTCATCGCGTCTATGGTTCCTACGCCTTAACATAGGAAACTGCAGTATAAATACAGGTTCGATTCATTGAGATTTCTTCAATCTACAACTGTGCTACGTGTACATTTCGAGATCTACAGCTTTAAGGTTAGGAGAGAAATTTCATCGTATCATGTCTGTGTCACAAAATTCTTCATTACTGCTCAGTGTGGTACTTTTATTAATGATTCAATTGTTACCTTCAACCCGTGCGGCTCCGATAAGTTGCAAAAACAACAGCACAAAATCCGAGAAATGTGAGTAAGAATCTATGCTTTTATGATAACTCTTGGATTACATTAATTTTCTTGAATACGACGGCTGAGCACATATTGGCAGAGCGTTTTTCTTGGTTAGCGTTAGGATACAGAGATTCCTTGCGAAGAATAGTTCTACTTGCACTGTAGCGTCCTCCATGAGTTCAGAACTGTCAAAAAAAAAAAAAGCTGAACTGACGATCGTTTACTCGTTGCATTTTTTCTTTTACTTGATTTTTTATTATTTCTTCATATCCTCGCTTATTCCCTTTCCCTGATACTCGTAATCGATGAGAAAACGTTCATTTTTTATTCCTTAACAGTTAAGAACTGTGCTGACCTTTACAAGTGCGGTCAAACCATCAGTGGTGTTTATGCAATCGACCCTGATGGTTCAGGTGCCTTTAATGTCTATTGTGATCAGACAACAGACGGTGGAGGATGGACAGTGATCCAGAAGAGGGTGGATGACACCGTAGATTTCAACCGGACTTGGAAAGACTATAAAAATGGATTTGGTGATTTTCTCATTCGTGACTTTTGGCTCGGACTGGACAAGATCCATCGCCTGACGCAAAACAAAACAGAAAACAAACTCCGCGTGGATCTAGGAGTAACTGCCAACAAAATTGTCTACGCACAGTATGAATGGTTTGGTATTGAGAATGAGACAAATCGTTACAAGCTGCACATTGGTAGTTTTTCGGCATGTAAGTCAATTTACTCTTTCCTAATCAATGCACTTTTTCATAAACGACAGTTACTATCACCTCCCTTACACAGGGTGGATCTCAAAACGTATGTCTCCTAAACGACTGTTTGCCTTGAGAATATCAGTGTGATTCATATCTGGTTATGCATNGCGCACGCCACTCCAATACACGATAGCAAGCGAAGGCATTTTCAAATGAGCTTGAGACCAATATAAAAAGCTTACATACAGAGGTACTCACACTGGATTATGGCTTGTCCTTTGAATGGATGGATACAGCTCGCCTCTTTCACAATCAAATAGAAACGAAAGAAATATACAAGCGCACTGGATTAGGCTAACAGTTGTCATGCTTGACTTTCCGAACACTCGCAGAGGCAGGCTCCAACTAATACTGTTAGTAATAAGGGAGTGCTCTTACATCAAACCTGTCAATAGCCTGCCTTAATTTACATTCGATAGAAACAACGTATGCCTAATATTTCCGGTTTCCCTGTTAAAAAGTAGAAATGCAATTGTAAGGTTAACTACAATGATCTTTATTGCGGAAACTTTTTCAAAAAAGTGGTTTTTCGTAAAGGACTTCGAAAGGAAATAGATGAACATTCTCGTATTTCCTATCATTTAATTAACTTTCAAATATTGACTTTAGCACAATTTACCAGTATGCTTGTTGTCAAGAAAAAAGATGAAAACTTTAGAAAGCTCGCACATGGTCAGACTTCTCAAATAATTGGAAGCCGTGATTTCATGGGACTTTCCCATGGAGCACTATCATTGTTTAAGGGGAAGGTAACACGGTCACGATTTCTGTAATGAATAAGTCAAGAATTGTCAAGAATTGCCCAAAAATTGAGCTGCTAAAGGTCCTCTTTCACGTTCGTAAATAACGCGTTCCTAAGTACACAGGAAATCGGGTAATAATCAACGTACGACAAATTCATGGATATGCATTTACTTTATTTTTGATTTTTCAAAAGCGTGGCCATAAATAAACCAATAAACATTAGTGTGTGTGTCGTGTATGTGTAAATAGATGAACATTCTCGTATTTCCTATCATTAATTAAATTCTAATTCTAAATTCTAATTCTAAAATTCTGAAATTCTAAAATTTCCAAAAACCGCGTTTTCTTGTCTGATCTTCTTCGTGGTTCCGTTGAAGGCGCAATTGATGACCTGGAGGAAAGAATCTATCACATCTTTTTGCCTATCCTCTCAGTTTCTTTTACAACGTTGTTTTAACTGAATGGGCGCATACTTTATTTTTATTTTTTCAAAAGTGTGGCTATAAACAAACTAATTAGTCTTCTTGCGTATGTTATGCTTGTGTAAAAATTCTAAGACATTCCACAACCGCGTTTGCTTGCCTGATTTTCTGCGTGGGTCCGATGAAAGCGTAATTAATTACTTAGAGAAAAGAATCCATCATACTTTCTTGCTTATCCTTTCAGCTTTTTTCACACCGTTGCTGGAAAAATGGTGAGAAAAAACCATTTTGAGACATTTTGAAAAAACGCCCTCGGCTCATTCGGGAATTGTTTCTCAGTCTTGGTTATTCTCACAAGTCTGGCGTTGTTTCATTCAGAGCTATGTACTCTCAGACGTCTCCATTTGCGCTGTCATTACTGATTTTGTACACCAATGACGCACTGTCACTTGACCACGAAGACCTACTTTTTCTTTTCCGGTGAAGCTTGTACATCAGGATAGTGTAAAGGACGGGCAGAAGGATGCACAAACCCGCCAGAAAACCGATCAAAATCTTATAC